TCGCGTAAGAAAGCGAGTTTAAGTTAATCTAAATAAACGCTTTAGTAACGTTAAAAGTATTAAGGCTACTATTAACTAAGCAGCAGCTCTATAGGTATAATAGATAGGTATTTTAGTAGAAAAAGAAGCAGAAAAGGCAGTAATAGTAGCGGCAGCTCTTACTCTTAGCTCTATATNTACTAAGTGGCAAATGTAATTATTGTTGTTGAGAAAATCGCGAATCTAAACTGTGTCATAGGGTGGCCAAGGTGGCCGACCACTATATGTGGCCGAACACTATATGGCCGAGCTTACAGTAGTGACAAGTTGTAACAATGTTAGCGAATTCTGACAGCCTGGCTGAGGGAAGCCACTAGTACACAAGGGCACCATGACCCATTCATACGCTGCAGTAAAGTACGCGACGTCTCTTGCATCTGCATTGGCCGTCCGATGGGACAGTTGATACACCTCCATTTGCTAAGCCATCCATCGCGATCCGACAAGAAAACGCACTACGCCTTACCCTTCTTTTCCCCACTCTTTCTTCGCCCCTTCTTCGACTCAACCTTTGTCTCTTTCGCCTTAACACCATTAGATTTTTCCTTTGTCGCAACTTCAGTTGCAACTTCAACACCGCCGCCCTTCTTCTCCTTGCGACCCGCTTTCTCCTTTGCGCTCACATGGCCATTCTTCTCTTTTGATGCTCCATTCGTACTCTTCTCCGCCTTTGGTACAATAGCCCTGGGATCCTTGCCTTTCTTGCGCATCGACTTGGCCTGAGCTTTCTCGATGTACTTCTGATCCTCTTCCTCATCAAATCCACCAAAATCTGATTCTTCGTCACTGTCGGCGCCGATGGGAGTACGATCAATGATTTCAATCTCAGTGGTTGTGTCTGAGCTGCCTGTACCGTTGGTCTTGGTAGCCTCATTGGCGCCAATTGCATTAGGTGGTGTAGGGCCAATTTTCTTGAACTTGGCGACAAAGAAACCGTCGACATTGTAAGTATGAGGATAGTACCTCCTGGTCATCTATCAGGATATTAGTACAAGTCGTTCAAGTCTTCCTGGAACCGGGAAAAATCTTACCTTCATCGACGGATGGAAAGTCTTGCCACCAATTCTCGTGAAACCCTCCTTACCAAAAGTAAGACCAGTCTCAACAAGCTTGACATTCGGCCTCTTGTTAAGCGCATACTGTACAACCTGCTCATTTTCCTCGACAGTAACGGAACAAGTACTGTAAACAATGTAACCGCCCGTCTTGGAGTGGTGGTTGACGGAGTCAATGGCAGCAAGCAGCAATTGCTTCTGCAAGTGAGGCAGCTTCATGAAATCGGCCTCGGTCTTATTGGTCTTGACACTAGCATCCTTGGCGATAACACCAGTACCGGAGCAAGGCGCATCGAGCAACACACGGTCAAAGCCACTCATGACTCTAGGGAACTCCAAAGCCGAGTAGTGGGAAACGATCACGTTCCTTGCGCCCAGACGGTGTATGTTTCCTATCAGACCCTTGGCACGATCTTTGTTGGCATCGTTGGCGAAGATGCACCCTGTATTCTTCATGAGTGCTGCCAAATGTGTTGTTTTACCACCGGGAGCAGCAGCCATCTGGTTAAAATAGTATTAGTATCAAGTCGCAAGGTAGACACCTTAGTGTTGCTCACATCTAGTACTCTCTCGTTCTCCTGTGGCGCAAGAGCCATGACGGGCAAGAACGAGGAAGCAGCCTGTAGAATGTAGTGTCCGGCGAGATACTCCGGCGTAGCACCCAGCGGCACTTGTGCGTCGAAGATTTGAAGTCCGACCTTTGACCACTTGCCAACAGGCTCAAGTTGCACACCACGGTTTATGAGTGCTTGTGCGAGATCTCTTCGGTGAGTACGGAGGGTGTTAGTGCGGATGACGATGGGTCGTGGGGTTTCGTTGGCCTCGAAGAAAGCTTGAGCTTCGCGAGGCGGGAAAAGGCTCAGAAGCTTGTCTGCTAGGAACTCGGAGTAGCCTAAATCAAGTCAGCTTGGAACTTGCCACTATGCCAGCTCTTATGTGTTTGTGACGTACCGTAGTAAGCGCAGATATCCTTGAGAAGCGATGCCCTGTACTCTGCCCTGCTTCGGCCCTCCTCAGCCAGATTCTTGAAATCATCCAAAACACGAATGGTATCGGTCAATCTTGTCCTCAGTAATTGAATGTCCTGATTGACGAGGTTCGTAATCGGCCTGCCATCTTCGTCCTCCTCATCCTCGAGAATCTTTGGCCTCTCTCCGACAATATTGGTCTGCATGTTCTCTTCCAATTCAGCTTGCGCCTCGGCCTCTTCAATCGCCTTTTGCTCGTCCAACTTCCTAGAAAGTCCAGCAATGTTGGCTGCTGTAAGCTTCTCCTCGGCATCTGAGTCGTCCTCATCTTCGGACCACATCGCAGCACCCTTCCTGATATTGGTATCTGAGTCTACAATGTCCGAGTCGAATTCGTCTTCGTCGATTGACTCTTCGCCTTCGGACGCGCTACCAAGCGCATCGAGTCCGGTAACGTTGATATCGGAATCGTCCATCATTTCAGAGTCGTCTTCGGAAAGATCTTCGTCGTCTTCGTCATCGGACGGTGGAGGCGGAGCAGCCTTTGCGGCCTTTGCTTTGGCCTTTGCTCCATTGACAACAGCAGCAGCCGTCTTTACGGGCTTTCCAGCGACTCTTGTCTTTGGCTGAGCCTTCGCCTTGGCCTCTCTAGCTTCCCTTGCAGCTGTCCTACTTCTCTTCTTGCGCTCTGGTTCGGCAGGCGCAGGCGCATCTTTACGCTTCCTCGTCACCAGCGATTCGTCGAGGGGCTCAGGAATGCCCTGCTTCTTCATACGGCGACCTTGACCCATGGCGACCGATTTCGTGCGGAAATCCTTGGGTGGAATAGAAAAAACTAGTGGTGGTTGTTGAAGAATTGGTAGAACCGACGCCTGCGCGAACTTTGGAACTTTCGTTGCTAGATTTTGGGGAACTTTTTCCACGCTAGCGGACCTCCTTCGGGTTAGCGCAATTTGGCCCTGGTTCCAGCCCACTGTCCCGCATCTCTCCAAACAGCGTCATCGGACTGGAGCAGTTCGCAACAACTTACACAGAGCACCCCGTTGTTTACACTACAGACGCTGCTCCGGATACCTGCAGGGTCATTGCAACAACGGCGCCCAAATCCGTAAACTCGATTGTAGCCCACCATGTCGGAATTCGCATTCTGCAAGTCGTTTCTGAGCGCCCTCGACGCGCGCCCAGTAAAGCTCTCCTCAGACCACATTGCAGACGCGCGACAGTATCCCGCGCAGGGCGCTGTACGTTCTATCAATCTCTCATATATCTGGTTGCCGACTAAACACGTCCATATAGTACACGCTCCCCCGCCTCCCACATCCACCCCACCCACAACGCCCAAACCCCAAGTCTACAGACAGCGCCGATGCCTCTACATCTGCCTCGACCATCACAGTAACGCTGAAGCCCATGAAGCCTTCGACGCCTACAGTCCCTCTCTCCGCTATCGACCCTTCCAAAACCTCCGTGTACGATCTGAAGCAGCAGTATGCGACGCAGGCCTCGTTATCGGCAGCCAAGATCAAGATCCTATATAAAAAGAAGCCCGTCACAGATTCAAAGACTCTGATAGAGGTAATAGGCAATGATGCTGGTGCTGAGGTTGAGTTTGGTGTCATGGTGATGGCAGGTGCTGCGGCAGCTTCAAGTAGCCCCGCAGCAGGAGGCACCCCTGTGACAAGCCCCCCTGCTATTGCACCGCCGACAGAGAGTGAGAAAGGCCTGGCCAGCGCGGGGGAATCGTCCGCCGGGACCTCCGCAGCTACAGGAGCCGTAAGTGGGAAGGATATTGTCGCTACTGACGAGTTCTGGGGAGATTTGAAGACCTTCATATTACAACGGACCAAGGACGCAGAAGAGGGCGAGAGGCTAGTTGGGGTATTCAAGGCCGCTTGGGAGCAAAACAAGTAATTAGCATTTCTGAACAGCTGGTTCACATGCACCTCGAAGAAATGAAACAGACGACCATGCCATCACGTCACGTTATTCAAAACAAAGATACCAAAGACACCTTCATCAAATACGACTTGACCAGTTTTTAGCCTGTCGAAAGTATGCCACGCCTAACATTTCAACACAAAGCCCAGCAATGCTACTGTGCGCAAATCGTCGCTTTAATCATTTTCATTCCGTTGCTGAGAAGTCGCTATGACATGACACGCTACCAAATTAATCACTCGACTTTATATCTTCGTGCCATTCCAACTCACGGCGTCCTCCCGTGGTGGGTTGCGCAGGTCCAACGCGGCTGGCCAGACGAAGAGGCCCTTAACGGCCCTTGGAGACACGGCTCTTGATGTTCTCAAACTCGAGGTCGTCGGCGTCGTTGGCTTGGATGTCGGCAGCGAGACCGTTGAGAGAGCGCTTGATGGCTTCCTTGGAAGATGAGTACATCATGCGGGGCTGTGTACAGCGTTAGTCGAGACTCTCATGTCAACTGTGTCGCCGTCTAGGTTGTTACGTACGTATTGTGGCGCATCATCGGGCGTCCAGCTAATAAAGGTGATCTTGCTCCTTGATCCCTCACCACTATCAAGGTCGTATTCAACATCGAAGACGGCATAGCGACCGCCAATGCCCTCTTTACCCTTGCGGTCCTTGCTCTTGGCGTTGAGAAGCTTCTCGCGGAATACGTCAAAGTTGGCCTCCTTGGAAGTCTCTTCGACGACGATCTCCTTCCAGTCATCGCTGATCTTGTAGATGATCCACTTGATATCCTTGCCGAGCTTGAGCTCGTTGAAGGTGCTAATGCACTCGGGAGAGACGGAGACACTGTGGCGGTATTAGTACCAAGAGAGATGGTCGTTTGGAGGGCGCGCTAGGGTATTGGAGAGATTGATATGAAGGTAGCATTGCGCGTGTGAGGGTCGGGCGGCGACTGCCGTTCATCTGGTGTGTTGTCTGCAAGCGATCTCTACGTACCCGGATTGAGCCTGCAAATACAGTCAGCGCAAGTTGTCGTGTGAACAATATGCACCAGCCTTACCATGATGTTGTGTGTAAAGTGTTGAGGATGCGAAAGGGAAGTTCAAGACACCAGGCAGCTTTATCAGTACTGTGTTGCCTGTTAGCTTCGTCATCAGGGACTGCGATTGCCGTACCACGACTAGGCAGCGGGAAGCAGCAGCTGGGCTGTTTGGAGGAGGCGGGTGCAGCTTACGTCAATAGAGAAGACTGATTGTTGTGGATGGCGTGTTTGCGGGAGGGAGGGCGGAGGTGGAGGAGCGGTGTTGCTGAGGCTGATGAGGCAAGTAGTGGGGTTATTTTCCAAGCGACGTACCTAGTGGGGTCACTCCTCGACCGGTTTATTTGCCTGCGCCGCGCCGCCACAGCAACCGACTGTCGGCCTAAACCCCGGTCACCACATCCACTCTCTGCTGCCCAATGTCAATACATCAAAACATCCGTGTAGTACATGTCTTTGAACTGGTTCACATTTCCTTCGTCGCTTTTTACATCTCGCCCTTCCCAGGACGTCTTCTAGATACACAGTATTGTACAAAAAAAACATCAAATAACCAATATGCCGTGCTTTTGAGAGAAAAACCGTGACTGAGGAGCGGAGACCAACTCAATATCGTGTACATAAGCCATCACTGGGAGAGTCGTAAGACTAAAGTCATAATAACGAAATGGGGGTATAAGAAGAAGAAAATAGACGGTCAGGCTTCAGCTGCTTAGAAGCCCATGCCGCCCATTCCGCCCATGCCTCCCATGCCGCCAGGCATGCCACCTGGAGGGCCGGCCTTCTCCTCTGGTGCCTCGACAATGGCCACCTCAGTGGTACCGAGGAGCGAGGCAACACCGCTGGCATCGACAAGGGCAGTGCGAACCACCTTGAAGGGGTCCAGAATACCAGCCGCAATCATGTCAACGTACTCGCCCTTGGCGCTGTTGAATCCCTTGTTGAAGTCGTTCTTGTGCTCGTCGATGAGCTTGCCTACAATGACAGAGCCCTCAGCGCCAGCATTCTCGACAATCTTGCGGGCAGGGTGGGTAATGGCGTTCTTGACAATGGTTATGCCAAGTTGTTGGTCGAAGTTGTGCGCCTTGACCGAGTCGAGAGCGTTGGCGGAAGCCTTGAGGAGACCAGTACCACCACCAGGCAGAATGCCCTCTTCGACAGCGGCACGGGTGGCGTTGAGTGCGTCAACGATGCGGTCCTTCTTCTCGCCAACCTCAACCTCGGAGGAGCCACCGACCTTGATGACGGCAACACCACCAGAGAGCTTGGCAAGACGCTCCTGAAGCTTCTCCTTCTCGTACTCGGATGTGGTCGGGTCGTTGATGACACCACGGATCTGCTCACAACGCTGCGAGACCTGGTCCTTGCTGCCCTCGCCGTTCAGAATGACAGTGTCCTCCTTGGTGATGGTGATGGATCCGGTAGAACCCAGCATGTCCGGAGTAGCCTTCTCGAGCTTAATGTCAAGATCGTCGCTGAAGACAGTACCGTTGGTTAAGACAGCAAGATCGCCGAGGATGGACTTCCTGTTATCACCGAAACCAGGGGCCTTGACGGCAGCAACTTGAAGCTGACCACGGAGCTTGTTGAGAATGCAGACAGCAAGCGCTTCGCCGTCAATGTCCTCGGCAATGATAACAAGAGGGCGGCGGAGCTGCTGGGAAGCCTCGAGTGCGGGGACAATGTCCTGGACAGCAGAGATCTTCTTCTCGGAAAGGAGGATGAGAGGCTTCTCAAACTCGACCTTCGCAGTCTTGGTGTCGGTGATGAAGTAAGGGGAGATGTAACCACGGTCGAACTTCATACCCTCAGTGACCTCCAGCTCATCCTCGGTGGTCTTACCCTCCTTGACGGTGATGACACCCTCCTTTCCAACCTTCTCCATTGCGTTGGACAGGAGCTTGCCAATATGTGTGTCACCATTGGCAGAAATAGTCGCAACCTGTGCAATCTCCTCGCTGGTGGTAATGTCCCTCTTGTTTGCCTTTAGGTAGTCGACAACAGCCTCGACAGCGGCCTGGGTACCCCGCCTCAGGTCCATTGGGTTGCATCCAGCGGCAACGTTCTTAACAGTCTCGGAGAAGATGGCGCGGGCAAGAACGGTAGCGGTAGTGGTTCCATCACCAGCAGCCTCGTTGGTCTTGCTGGCAACATCCTGGAGCAGGCGGGCTCCAAGGTTTTCGAACTTGTCTTGGAGGGTTATGGCCTTTGCGACCGTTACACCATCTAAAACTCTGTCAGCGGACGATTCGGGAAAACACGGCTTAACATGTGCATACCCTTGGTGATCTTGGGAGAGCCATAGCTCGACTCGATCAATACGTTGCGACCCTTGGGACCGAGTGTTGTTGATACAGCCTTTGCCAATGTGTCGACACCCTTGAGCAGTCCTGCTCGTGCCTCAACGCCAAACTTGAGCTCCTGCACATCAGTTAGTTTCTGCTGGTCAATTGAAAAGTACATTTGGCGATAACGTACCTTGTGCGCAAATCTTTGTTGCTGGAGGCTCAAGCTGGTGGTGCGAAGCTTAGAAGTCGAATTTAGGGCCGAAGTCCGCGCCCGCGAAGCGAAAGCTCTTTGCATTGTGACGGAATTGAAAAGTGTAGGTGGCGGTAGTGAAACGCAAACAATGCTCTTGGACTCCAGCTCAATGCAAGGTAACCGAGAAGAGAGATTGGGTGCAGAGGGGGATTGTGGAGAAGAAATGGACGCTGCCATATGTGTAGAAAATTCCAAGGAATCATCGAGAAGTCGACGCTCGGACCATATCACCACTAGCCTCGGCTTTAACACCATCGCTCCGCTTACAGCCTCACATTGCCCTTGGCCACTTCTCAAGAATTGATGCAATTGAGTAAAGTACCTGTTGCTATCTGGTACAGACGTCTTAGCCCTAGAATATCCGTCAATGCTGTCGCCTTACTATACGGATGTGCTACCACCTTCCGACTCACCAACGACATATCGCGCTTGATCAACTTCAAGTCGGTGCCGACCGTGGAAAAAACTTCTCGCTGGTCAGGTCTTAAGGCTCACTGCCCCGTGAGACTTTTCTACCGCTTTCCTGTCTCTCTGTTCAGGTAAATTTCATTGTCAAGCCTCCTGGATTTCCCCCGCACCCTACGCCTATCTCTTTCAGCCTTGCGTTGTTTGGTTTTACAATGGCTATTCTTGTTTGGAGGACTTTATCGAATATATTTGCCTTGGTTTTCCTAGATTCTTTTTATTTTTTCCTTCTCTTGAGATGCATAACTTGAGTACGTTTCATGCGTACACCACAATAGTTTGCCTTTGATCATATCTCTCCAGCCTAAGGCTACTTCAGGAATTCCGCTTCCGGAGATCACATAATATTTTATCAATCTTCCGTATTTGAGAGTACACAATGGCTCGGGAGAGAGAGCCCTTGAATTCAGTCGGTGCGTGCCGCTAGAAAAGATTCTTTACTTCTATCATCGTTGTCTCTTGAGCCATGTGGGACTCCTCTGTGTTTTCTGGTGCACCGGGAACTCGAGTAAAAGATATACGGACTTGCATAAACAGTGGCCTTGCGTAATATGCGTTTGTGGTCGCTATGAACGATCTCTCCAGGCCGTGTAGCTTCCGCTCAGGCTTTGGCGCACCTGTATCTTCCCGAGTATGGTCCTTCCGCGGGTCGCCTCGACAGCCACGCGGTATATCAATACATCATTATCCACCTTCACTCGTCAATTTTTTTTACATTTGCAGTATCTTGGATTCACATCCTCCGGTAATCCTGTAAGTGTTATTTGATTTGGCGATGGACAAGCAAAAACTTTGCAATACCAATCATGGATTTGTTCCGATGTATCTATGCTCCGAGCATTTCAATTTCGCCACAGAGTAAAGCTTCGCTTACAGGTGATTGAGAAATACATGCGGCTACACCATGTGTGACACTGTGACCAATAGTGATGTGATGCTCTACACCATTCGTAACAGGCAAAAAGGCAAACTAAACCGGTCAGCCGTGGCGTCTCAGCTGAACGACAGTTTCTCCGCTGTACACAAAACTCATCATGCAGAAGTCGCGCAATTACTACTCACAGATGTGATGCGTCTTGCATAGAAAAATGCGGTTTTGCGTCATCCTCAGAGCAGTTGTACGCACCATCAGATGCCTTCCGGGTGAGTCATAAGGCTGAGGCCGCTCATACACAGAAGCATATAGTTTCGCCCTCAGCCTTCCACTCGCAGAGCTGCGAAGGAGCACGTTGAACATACACAGCCGCAGCTGTCAGCCTACCGCCCGGGTTCACAACACCGGGTGCATCACAAGGACTGCTGGTTTATTCTGCCTGAACGTACACCACGACCAAACCACGAGAAAGGAGCAACATTTAGATGCGACCATTTCGTCAAGCCACTGACCCGGAGTTGGAGCGCGCGAGGCAAGCTCAACGCAAGCCTAGGCTTCCATCAGCAAAATGGAGCGGCAGAGTTCAAGAAACGTTTACCGCATATGATGATTTTGGATGGGACAAGATTGAAGAATACTTGAAAATCAAATGGCCCAACTGGGATTTCAAACCAAGAATTGTATGTTGTGTCTGAACACTAGATTGCAGGACACTGGACTGATAGGCCTCCCAGTTCAATGGCAACTGGCTATTTGAGGTACCCGAGAAGCTGACTGAGGTGATTCTATTGCCTAGTATTCGCGAGCGCGCGGCTAATTTAGTTTCAGGGGGAGAAGAGAGAGCTGAGAAAACGAAGAGATGTGTCTGGTCGGACGAGATCGCCCTCTGTGTCACCAGAGCCAGAAGGACGAAAACCCCAACAAGAGCAAGGCCAAGTTTCATCTTCATAGTGACATTCAGAGTGCAGGTGCGTGGCGTTTAGTTGATAGTATCCATGTGATGCAGTCGCTTGCATCTTGTGTATCAGCAGAAGCTTTGGCACCGGTGAGGGGGTGGCTTCGGGTGTACGGGGGCGGGGTTTTGCATTCCCTAGAGCGCCTTCCCACATGTAATCTACACGCCACAAGGCAGATTTGCTGCGCCTTTCTGAGGTCATATTCTTCAAATACCATGTCCTTCCCTCACGCCTCTCTGTTGATAGTCATAATTTACAGTTACGTATCTTTGCGCTAGCGTTAAATATGCATACAATGTACCCACTACCGACGGAACTACAGGAATCTTATCTTGACAGCGCCAATTATCCACAAAACCTTATTCCAAGCGGCATCGCAACATACAAGTCGAAACTTGTCTCATACAAGGAACGCTTGGACGACGCTGAGGTCGATCTTTGCCTTGGTTCCATTGAGGACGAAGTTGAAAAAGACTTTGAGATTCCCGTTATCGACTTGGACACCAGTGATGAGAAAGGTAACTTGCTTTTCAAACCGCTTGAAAGGTTGCTAACGAATCTAGAATGGGACAAGAGAAACATTCATAGTCCGGCAAAACTCACGGAATGGCTCGGTGTCACTGCGCAAAACTCGGATGCCAACACGCAGCTACTAACGACACGAAAGAAAGATCCAAAATGCAGGTTCATGTACGTCAGCTATGTACTAGCCTTAAATCCCATGCTGACAGCATAGATATCTGTATGGACAACATTCGCGCGACAAATTGAAAACAACACGTGAAAGTCTTTGTCAAATCCTGTCGTACCATCAAGTCATGCCCGTGTATTTGGATTTCATGCTCGTCTTCGGTGGACAGACTGACGCCATCGATCCTCGGTTTGGTGGTTTTCGAGAGCAAATACGTCTCAGAAATCCAAGAAGTGGACACGCAGTTCCTGAGCTGAATCGAAGCGGCAAGCTCTTCCAACTCAGCTACAACTTGAAGGGTGTATACCTCAAGAAGCGAGATCGTGAGAACATCAGGCTTAACGTATGGTCGATTCGAGACGCCGCAATCTATCATAAATTTGATGTCAAATACGGCACTACGCTCTGGATTGTTACAAAGGGCGGGAAAGACATCCTGGAACGTTATGCAGATCTGACTAAACCAGACGGCCGATCAGAGGATATAAAGTATGACAATCCGACAGCATGCTTCCGGTCGACACTTGTGACGCATTTGCTCTATTGCCACTGGGCAACCGAAGACTGGAGATGGTATATAGTGTGGCTTGAGAGAGTGATCCATCAAGAAGTGAGTGTCCCCATCCATGTGCATTTCCAAGCTGACGTTGAGAAACATAGAGCGCGATGGCCGTGAACGGCCTCCGTACGGAGGAGTGTGCTTATGAGATATACGAACCACAACACATACAGGATTTGCAACATTGGCAAGATGAGACTAATGCAGTTGTAATGGTTCTGGAGTCCAACGCCAAAATTGTGGGTGCTCTACGCAGCTTCTACAAGAATCTGGTTTCTCGAGAAGACTTTCCCCTTGCGTTGAAAACAGACTGCGAGGATCATCTTCACGCCTTCTTTTCGCAGCTGGATGAAATCATGGGAGACTTTGATATGCAATTAACCCGAGCAAAACTTCTCGTGAAGATAATAAGTGACAGAAAAGAGCTGGTATTGCAGCATCTACACCGTCAAGCTTCAGACCGGACTGAACAGTTGAACAAGAACCTTGAACGGGAAGCTGTTGTTATGCGGATTATTACAATTGTTACACTCCTGTATCTGCCAGCGACGTTCGTATCAGTAAGCTGAGAAATTACCACATGGCTCTCTTCTCTCTCTGACTCACTACAGACGTTCTTCAGCACCGATGTCATCAAATACCAAGATCAAGACCAGAATGCTGGCAGCTCCAAAAACGGCTCTTTCTCTAGCCTTGCTTTGGAGCGTTGGCTTCAGGTCACCATACCTTTGACTTTCCTAACTTTGCTTGGGGCTTGGTCGACTTATCGTTTTTTCAACAGTACAGTGGAACAGTTCACGTTCTTCGAGAGGCTGAAACACATCGTTCCTGGCCTGACGTCATCGGCGAGTGTTTCCCTATCATCTGGAACAGCTCAAAGCTACCCTGATACCAATACTCGAAAAGACGCATCCAAGCGCTTGGTTAACTCTACTAAGAGGCTTTCTCGGATCACGCGTTGGTTTCGTAGCAATCGTGCCGCCTTACCGTTCTACAAGCCAACAGCGCCGAAAGCAGGCTGATGTTGAGGTAGATGGGCGATCCTTCTCATGCTATATCTTCTGTTTAGGTTTTGTAATTAGAGCATTGCTATATTCATTTTCATAAGAATGGTCCAACACAGTGCCAGCAAGAGGCGTGCACTGCCACCCAGAAACGCCTAGGATCCCGATGGAGGCTTTTTTAGTTAAAGTTCGAGGCTGACACGGCCGGAGCGGGAGGCCATCCTTCGAGTTAGTTACCAAGCGGGGTCGTGAGCGCTTAGCGAAGAAGCGTTCACTGATACAGCCTGGTCGATCAATAGATCACTCCTGAAGATGGCCAGCTTACACCATCTGCCTACAAGACGATGCAACACCATATTGCAGCTTTTTTCCAGAACCGCGATATCACTTTTCTTGTCGTATCTATCATCGATCTTTCTATTGCGCATGTTGCTTGATGAACGGCTTTGTGGCGGCGGAGCGAAAGCTCAGCCTTGCTGCCTTGTCACGGTAATCAGCTTGCTGCAGCCACCAAAGTCCTCCGTGGAACTATTGGCGTAATCTTTAATCTGGATCTGCCCCCGGCTGCACAAGTCCTCGTTCACATGGCTCTAATAGCCAGGCACCCCGCCCACACAACTGAGGCTCCAACAACCACTGCCCGTTGCTTGTCATCTCCTTATCACCGGCTTGTCATCAAGCCTGTCCTCTGCGCAACCGAACTGACAACTTCCATCCAATAACGCTGAGCACATATTACGGTTTTTTCGTATCAAACACCGGTTCTGTACTTCCTTTTGCTCGCTACTCCATGACGTTGTCGCCAGCCTGATCGCTGGTTGGAACCACGTCAGAATGCGGGCCATATCTAAAGAACAGAACGGTCGTCAACGTACCGAGGACGAATTCAAAAACCTGTTACACTCAAAATGGACTCGTCAAGTCGCATGCCAGAATGAGTGTCAGCCTCCAGACTCGTGCAGTTGCCAGCGCAAAATTGTCCACGTGTATGCGCTCGAAAAGTGGTGGAACGAGGGACATCCAGAGAGCCCTGGCCAGACCAGAGGGCATCGATTCTTGGATGAAACGCCTCCAGCGCCCCATCGAACCTTCCAGGTCAGGTACAAAAATATTTTTACTGGCGAACAGTCCTGCCGACGTGTCCTTAGCTTGCTTCTCGAACAAGGCTATCACCATCTCATCGAACGCTTTTACCGCGCAGATATTCACGACAGATATCTTATGCGCAGTGAAGATGATCGCCGCCTCCGCGAAACCCTACTTGAAGTTCACCCACAAGAGGAAGTGGATCGCATCATCCAAGACTTTCACAGAGATAAATGGGCATACTGCCCATTGAACTTGACCTTGGACATGGACGTCAACCTACATGGGACGAAGGTCATACCACCTTTCTGTGGAAAGATCAAGCTTCCAGACAAGGGGGGAACTGCCTCGATATACTGGGTGGCTGTGCAAAAAGATCTAATCACAGACACCGCTCTCATAGACGCTCTCAAAGAGTCGCTTTACAACGACGACGATTTCGGAGAGGTAAACTTCCTAGCCATAACATCGTTTAGAAATATACTAAATGTGATCTAGTGCTATCAGATGGTTCTCAAGTCATATTGCGGAAACAAAAAGAGGGATTTCGAGCTAGAAAAGGAAGCCTTCTCTGGCCTTGACTCGAAGAAAGATGTGCCGATATTACGATGTCTAGGTTCCTTCACTCACGATTATGGTGAAGGTAAAGATATGGGAAAGACCTATAATCTGTTACTAGAATATGGGGATCATGACCTTTACCAAGCATGGGCGGATGAGACCAATGTTCCTCCCGTGAGAGCTCAGGAGATTCTTCGAACATGGGATTCACTCTTTGAGATTGCCAAAGCCATTCGTCACGTACACCATCTTGAAGTTCCACGAGGTGGTAAGAGCGAACCACGGAGATTCCATGGGTACGTACTGGAAAAAAAACTGTTCGAGAGACCAAACTAAAAATGATCAGCTGGCACGCAGATATCAAACCTGATAACATTCTCAGCATACGGAAGAAGTTGAAACTGGCAGATTTCCGTTTTTCGAGTTTTGCTCCAGTAATTGAGGGACATGATGGCTCAGTTCCAACAGAACTGATCAGGGGGTTCACTGATACTTACGGTAAGTCAGAAGAGTGGTGAATACGTGGGGATGTTTTCTGAGATTCCTTAGGTGCTCCCGAAGTGTTCCGGATGAAAAACCCAGATGGAACTTCTTCAGGTGTTTCGCAGTCAATCGACATCTGGTCATTCGGTTGTGTATTATCCGTGGCCGCGACCTGGATAGTTTTGGGTTTCCAGGGAATACGTCAATATGAACAGCTCCGACAACTTGCTCCTGCGAACTGCCAGAACGGACAAATCCACGATCGATTTCACGACGGCTTCAATGTTCTTAAGGAGATAGGGAAATGGCACGATTACCTTAGAGGACACCTCCGCCCTTCGGACACTACCACAGAGCTGGTGTTAGCTCTGGTAGAGGATGATCTACTTCAGGCAGACTTGAAGAAAAGGCCCGACTCTGAGAAACTCTGCGAAAAATTACAAAAAATACACATATTAGCAGAGGAAAAGATTTCACGTCTAGAGGGGCACACAAAAGAGACGGACGCTGTAGTGCTCAAGGCACTTTCCGAGATTGAAGATAAAGCTCGAGATCAAAGAGGCTCAGAAACAAAGATGAAGTCCTGTCGACAGGAACCAATACCGACAAACGCCAGTCAGATCAATCCTCGACAATGGGCATCAATGCAGGTCCACAAAGAGGAGATGATCAAGAGCAAACCTTTGGGTCAAACACCTTACCGCAAGGAGATTTTAACACAAGAACTAAAAGCAAGCAGCCGCAACCTTTCCGAAAACAAAGAAAAGATGCTTGGCGTTCACAATGGCGCAGTCACTGAGAGCCCTGTCGATAACGCAGATTTGTATGAGGAACCATTTAGTGGTCGCTCTAAGAAGCCCAGAAACCCTGATCTACAGGAGAGCGACCAGCGCAAGTCTGACACACAACGCAATACGACAGACAGTGAACCCGATAGGCCGATAACCACTCCGTCAACACCAACTCAAAACCGGCGGCGGAGCACGATTCACGATCAAACCCCATTCATACTTGATGTTACTGCACCTACAGCGGATTTCTTTCACGCATACGGCGACTCGAATTTACGCCAGTCAGACAGGGTCATGGAAAAAACCGCTGAGACTACTTCCAGAGGACTTTCTACTTTGACTGGAGAATCAGCGTCCGCCGTTCCTCAACGTCCGCAGATCAATACGCATATTCCTCCTCTATCTCCACCTTACACACCTGGATTCAAAGCTCGTGGCAACACAGAGCAGTCAGAATTATCGCCTCTAGAAAACCATGCGCCGACATATGGCCACATGCAGCGCAGCTTCCCAAGACCGGCAACTTCGAGCACGATAAGCTCTGCCTATGGCGACAAACAGGTGTACGATCCAACCAGCACCCCAGCGCGTCAGGTAGACGGTGTTACAAGCTTCTATGTAAAACATCCCTTTGGAATTTTTCCATCTCCTATAGTGGATGAGCACATGAAGGTGCAAAATCCAAACAAACCTCTTGACGGAAAGTACGCTATGAATAGCCCCCGCACAACTATGTCGCATGAGATGGTAGACTTTGTTCGAGAACCTCCAACATCCGTACTGAACCTACCATACAACATATGTGAGAGAAGAAGAAAACTAGAAAGCGAAAAGCGGAGGAGTTTTGCAAAGATAGCAAGCAAAATGGGTAAAGAAACTAGGAGGCCAGATCCTAACCTAAAGGACATATCCAAAGATCGTCGTGAACTGGTAAGGCTACTCAAATGCTCCTCAATCACAGTGACTAATATGTGCTAGGTCTTCGTCATCGATAACGGCTGGACGATGTTTGACCACTGGCCAATCCTAACCTTTGTTGTCGAAACACTCGCAATGAACGCCGCAGGCATCGACAAGAGTGGCATCGACCTCCGCTTCACCGTAGAGGGATCCCGACACGACGCAAACGACATTGTAGGTGATTACGGGCGTCGGGTCCTAAAAGATAAGCTACAAGCAGCCTGGCCCGAACACAAGTCCAAACCCAACTCCACAACCGACATGACTGCGATGCTCGAAACCATCTACAACGAATGGTGCGACAACCACCAACCAGCCACAACCCTCTACGTCTTCACCGACGGCAAATGGTCCACCGAATCCCTCGCCGCCCTCAACCTCGTCGCCTCAAACCCAACCTCCCCCCACGAAATCATCCTCAACCCCCCTCCCCTCCACAAAGCCATCATGGCCTTCGCCGAACAAGACCGTCAACGCACCGGAAAACGCCACTTCAGCATCCAATTCATCCGCTTCGGCGACGACGCCCCCGATATCGAGCATCTGCAGTGGCTCGACGACCATCTGTGTGAAGCCCACAAGTACCGCGATATCATTGATCACTGCTCCTGGCGCGCGACCGTCGATAAGATTTTCAAGGGAAGCATCGAGGGGTTCCTTGATGAGAAAGATACAAAGGATCCGCCCGTGCAGTATGACTATAAGCAGCTAGTGGAGAAGTTTGATCAGTATAATCGCGGGGAGGAGCATGGTGCGGGTGCGGATGCGCATTCGTCGCCGCTGATACGGGTGGGGACGCAGAAGTCGACAGTTTCGACTTCGTCGCCCAGGACGATGCAGAAGAGGCTTTCGGTGTTTTCCTTCTAACGTCACTTGTTCTCTTTTCCTTTTCTTGCCAACGCAGGTTTTGGTGCATATGGTTTGATATGTGTGTATATATAGAGTGTCCTGACTTTTGGGTTTCTTCTTTTCTCTTCTTTTTCCATTCACATCTCTCATTCGGATTGGATTACGATACCCACGGGAAGGATAACCCTGCTCTTTTTTTCGGCATTGCATTTGCGGCATTATACCCATGGAAACGGCGTTTTCATCTTTGCTAATTTTCCGTTTGGATTTCGATCTGTTTCACTTGTATTCGATAAAACCATTAGTTCTATTGCACGGATACGTGCTTGTCTAGTTGTGGACTTTTGGAGTATCCATAGATATATGTTTTATTTGTTTTTGACCTGGGGGAGAGAGCTTGTTGTTACTTCCTAATTGAAAAAAAGGAAAGCATGGGATTATAGACGGCGGAATGTGTAATGATAGTGTAACGAACTAGACTTGATATCAATCAACAGAGGGATGCATACGCTTCCAAATCCATCAGCATAAATACCTTGCATCCAATATTGATTTATTCGTCCATCCTCTCTCTTCTTGATTCGTTTTAGAGTGGTGTCTTACTGGAATAAAATACTGCACTATACTCTTCAAAAGGTAATGGCTCTTTCATTCTAGAGAACAAGTCATGCTTCCGGTCATGAAACCCATCATTTTGATATAATATACATTTTAACTCAATGTCACTACACTAACAGGAGAAGTGAGAATCTTGTTATAAAAACAGCTTAGCGAATAAAACAAGCTTAGTGATGATCCATCAACCGTCGTCTCCAGCGCCAACGAGCCAGATGCTCTCCCTCATACCTTATCCTTGGTCTCTCGATCCTCCTTATGCCTTCTCTTAAAAATCGGTTCCCTCTCAAGTCCCTCCAGGATTCACCTGTATACGGTGATGCAGCATACTTGCGGGCAAGCGGTAATGGTCTCATGCGAACAGAAGGCGTGATCTCGCGGAAGAGACGGCGCAAAAGCTGTTTGGTTTGTCTTGAAATAACTGGCTGTGCCGGAATATAAGGTTGGATAGGGCGAATGGGTGGTGCGACTTTGGTAGGAAGGGAGATGAATTGATGGCTTCTGAGGCGAGTAGACCTACGACGCGATACTCGGCCAGGTATGGGCATCAAAGATGCAGTCACTTCTCTGAAGGGTGGTTGAGAAGTTGTATCATTAGAGAGAGATTTAAATGCTTTCTCACCTTCGGACTGAGCTGAGGGTTCAGACACTGAAATTGCACTGAGACTCGGGATTGTTGCTGATCCAGTTGCTTGGCCGTTTTCGGTTCGTGTCTCCTTTTCAGCGCTTAAATCCAGCCGCCGGAAAACAGGCTTTCCTCCGTCATTTTTGTTGTTCAATCTCGCTCGCATACCACTAGTGCGGTTACCATGTCGTGACTCTATCGATCCTGGGGTCCCGCGGGATACGTTTGTAGGCGTAGGAGCTGAAGTAGGTGTCCGAACTGTCGTGTAGACGGTACCTTTTACAGCAACGCCACCCGTTGGGCCTTCGATCCACAAGTCATATATGCTTCCATTTTGCAGTGTCTTCTTCTCCAGCCCGCAGATGCGCATTTCCTCGTCACAATACAATGGCGCAAGATTACGATATTCAATAGACTCCACGACCTGTGCTCCCTTGGTATGCGTTTCCAGATGATTGTTCATGAGTTGCAGCATCAGTGTCAGGGAGAGGGGCCCATGGACCAGGAGGTTGCGGTGGCCTTCAACATTACGAGCATAGTCGGGATCGAGGTGAATGAGATGAGCATTGAAAGTGAGAGCAGAGAAACGGAAAAGAAGGGCACGATTGGGAGTGAGGGTATGGGAGAAGAGAGGATCACCAGGAGCTACGAGTAGTTAGCAAGCAGTTCAAACAACTGGTCAGAGTACGCACGATCTAGATATTTGATAGAGGCCATCTGGCCCGCCTTGATAGCGTCGATTTCTGCAACACTGCGTTCCTTGAAGAAGACCAGGTTGCGCTCTTCTTTGAGAATGGCATTGCCCCAGTCGTCGGTACTGCGTAGTTGGTCCTCCAAGTAGCTTTGAATCTTTCGCAACCCAGTAGCTCTGCCCAACGACCCGTGGAGCGCTCTGTAGCTTTCCTGTAGGGCGTCTAGCCTCGCAAAGCGGCGCTCAATGGTGACGAAGATCTTGGCGGTATCGTCCTGCCCGTGCAGTCGGACATGCTTGATATGCTCGATACCAGCCATGGGCGTGCCTGCGGCGAAGCCCCGAAACGTATCAAAATAGTCCCTTGGCTTTGCATGGACTGAGCCTCCTGCCCACATGCGCCGCACCCAAGGACCGCCTGGTGAATGGGATGCGTCTGTTCCATCCGGAAGTAGGTCGTGGGTGGGCAGCGATGGATTGAACCATATCAAATGGTGGCCAAAAGGAATTATTAGATTTCGCCTGCCCAGCGCATGACAGAACTCTCGGGGTAAGAAACCAGTCAGTGTCTGCGAGAGTTTGTATTCGGGCGGAGCGGTCAAATGCTCAGGCAAATGGGTCGCGCCCCGCTGCAGCATTTGAGTGCGCAGCTCCTGGAACCATTGCGGGTCGTCCGAGCCTGTCGTTGCAGCATATCCTCGCCGCGATATGCATCGCAATTGTGTGCGATGCGACAAGGCCCAGCCAGCTGGTCGTGTGCAAAATGCGTGGCGCAACATGTGAAGATACTTGTGCGAGCGTGCTCCATCCAACTGCGAAAGTGCATGGGCTGGTCTTGGCGAACCAATGACGTGCCACACGTGTACATGGATACAAACTATGGGGTCCTGCGGAGACAACCTCTCCTTAGAATACTTCATTCTTAATACCAGAACTCATTACAATCCGGCCGCTGGATGCGCTCTTACTATGGCCCCATGTCTTGTACTACCAACATGGCATCGCCGTGTCCCTGCAGCCCCCAATTTGCTCTGTTGCCGATGAAGCGTTCCGCCCAGGCCCACACTGCGAACACCAAGCACGCCTATCCACATGTCCTGGGCCCAACAGTAGAAGGCCTCACCTCTCCATTTCTTCGTTCGCGCATATAGCTCATCGTCCATATTTCTCGGTCTTGGCGCGCCTGGCTGATTGGCTGTCCTGGCAACAGCCGGCCTTCTACTTACCTTCACCGTATTCTTGCAGCCGACCACAGCACTTCCCCACAACATCATCTTCCCCATTTGTACCTTATCTCAGTATGTCTCATTCTTGCCCGTCTTTCGGATTAAATTTTCCATTGGCGTTTGAAGTTTGTGCGTTCGTCATGCTAAGCCCCGTAAGCACGCAGCAATCGCTCCAGCAGTGTCATTTGTACACGCACTAGGTGACGGTTGTCCTCACTGCCAAGACCAACCTCTCAACGTCCATGATTTACTACATAACCTTGAATCTACTTGAGTGCCGTTGAGACGTATAGGACTCTGGATATCATTTGCATCGATACGGGAAACAGTATGAAGCGTCTCGAATGTCCCCTGTGCGACTTCACCATTCTTTCAAAAGATGGCTATTTCCTTCAGTTGCATTTCGAGCAAGCCCATACCACTGACTCCCCCTTCATTATTGAAGATGATCCGGAGCCGTTGCGACCTTCATTACCACCCATGCCTGCATCGACGGGCAGCAACGACGAGCAGACGCCTTCCTATTCCGACTCGAGCGATTCTGATTCTGACTCGGACTCGGACTCTAATGTGTCTGACCAAGAAGAAGGAGCCATCAAAAGTCCCACCACTGATTCTTACGAGCTTGTTTCTCCTTCTGACCCCGACGATCATATCGACTATCGCCGCGTAGAGACTTTATCATTGGACAAGACTACCCCAAAATATCATTCTAAACGTTCATCCGCTACTATGCACAGCTCATCTTCGACCCATCGCTCACATAGGCGCCGTGCTACGAGCACACCTGTCGAGCATAATGCGAAAAACGACACGCGCGCTGCCTCGAAGAGGACCGACGGTCACAGCCGCAGATCAACCAAGCATGGTCCTCGACGCAGGCGGAATACAAATGACAGTGATAAAACTACCATTAGCAGAAGTATCCTGGGCTTTAGCCCTTTCACAAAGTCCCATAAGAATGCCAAGCCACCATCTAAGAACGCCCGTCTTGACGTAAGTCTGTTGCCACTTGCAGCCACACGTTTTGACTAACTATGTCAGAAATCTGACCTAGGCGAATATGCTTTTGAAGAGCGCATGCCAGAATGGCTCCACAGGCAGCTTAGTGCCGGCCCCGAGATCACCATGGTCAACCGCATTGGACGGGACGGTCGCCTCATCAAACATGAGCAGGTGCAGAATGAGACGCCAGGCATTATACCTATTCTTGCACAACTATCCGCTTTAGACCGCACGGTACAGCAGGCATATTATTGTCACCCTTCTACCATTCACATTGGAAAAACACCTCACGAAGGTGGTTTCTGTGGCTACCGCAACATTCATATGCTTCTCTCCTACATTCAGGGCGCAAAGGCACAGGGTCACGAAGAATTTCCTGGTCGATTACCAACTATCTTGAAGTTGCAAGACCTCATAGAGGAAGCCTGGGATAACGGGATCAACTCGATCGGTCGTGTCCAGACTGGTGGCATTCGCAACACAAGAAAGTATATTGGTACTCCAGAGGTATGCACTCCTATGTCACTTGAAGGATATTTCTGACACACTGCAGGCGCAAGCATTTTTCCTCAACGCAGAGATCAATTGCGCCGTAGAAGTATTCTTCACCACAGAAGATCGCAAGACCGTGGCTCACAGAACACTTCTTGCCGCTGTAGAGCGATATTTTGCCCAGGCAGCTACTGACGATGGCTCCACTGTATGCAAGACCCTACTACCGCCTATCTACCTCCAGCAACCTGGCCACTCCCTTACAATTGTGGGATTCGAGCGCCACTATGACGGCACTTGCCACCTAGTCGTCTTTGATCCCATGTACCATACCACTCCTGCCATGCATAAGTTGCTTGGACGAAAGAACATCAAAACCGCTCGGCCCGAAGTTCTCCATACATACCGACGCGGCTCCCGCAAACTTAAGAGGTTCAAGGCTTTCGAAATCTTGATGTAAGCGTTCTGTTTTCAATCTTCAATGATTAGCAACGTACTAACTGACGTTAGGCTCACAGCGACACCACCTTTGTTCCCCGCTTGGGATGTATGAACTTCCATCCCAGCCTCTTATGTCATCTGTATAGATACTATGCATATTTTACCGAAACACTTCATATCGATCAATGCAACACAATCACGCTTACGAACCTTATTCCGATTTCCCGTTTGTAATGACTTGTGCTAAATGTATGCTCTGCAGGTTCTTCGCCAATTTCCTGACTGTCGCTTTGTATACGTCTTTTTTCGTGCTCGCAGCCTTGGATACGATGTCTACCCTGAGGATCATTTTCTCCCGACCTTTCCGTGGCAACAGTACGGTGGACTTTGGTCTTGCGACGATGCTCGCTTCGCCAGAGCAGAGCCTATGAATGCTCTCACTTCTCAAGCTCTACGACGTATCACAGGCATAGGAAGTTCCGTTGATTCTAGCAATGGCAGCAGTCCTAGAAGCGCCACTAGCTTCTTTACCTGCAGTTCTTCTCCACATATGCTGGCCACTGAGTACGATGGCCTTCCATCATGGGGTCTGGCACTCGACGGCACTGCGAACAATTTTACCAGCTCATCGCAGCCTACCGGAAGTGGTGCAGTGTTCAACATAGGATCTGTCAGCACAGTTTTACCCCAGCCAACGGTTGTGAAACCATACCTCTCACTCTTGACCGAGGTCGGTAGAAGATACCCAGGCTTTCCCACCCCCCTTTCCCCTACCACAAGCGCAAAGGATCTATTCCCCTCTCCAACTTCCAACCCCAGCATCACATCCGGAACCCCCCGTATCCCCAGCTCCGCCATAACCCCCGCCACCCCCATGAGCATCGACGGCTCCTCAATGTGCGGTCCCTCCCACCGTTGCGAATCCCACAGCTACGCCCACTACACCCCCCACCTCGACTCCATCGACCGCATCCTCAAAAACCAAGTCCGTAACCCCCCTCGCACTCCATCCGCTTCCCACCGCAACACTGCGAGTCCCTCACTAAGCCCCTCACACTACCCATCCCCCCGCACAGTCATGCTCAACAACAACATCACCACTGACGCCCCACCCCTCCACCTCCCCCGATCCATTCCCATAGCCAACGGCACAGAATTCGAATCCCCATCTCCCCTCTCCCCCTCAGGGACCCGCTTATCATACACTTCCAACCGCAACGTCTCATCCGGTCTCCTTGCCGTACCACCCTTATCCGAGCACCAAGTCGCCGAGTACCGCTTTTGGCGTCCCTGCGGCAGGCGCAACTGCGGGTTTGGATGTGGAGGGGGAGATGTCGGGGAGGTGGCGGCTGCGAAGCGGTTGTTCAGGGATGTGGAGGATGTTACTGTTGAGGAGGAAGGGGGGAAGAGGGTGAGGAGTGGAGGTGGTGCGGGTGGATTTGAGCGCGATGGCCAGGGGGAGGGAAGGGAACAGGGGGGCAGGTCGAGTGTTTGGGCTGGACGACGGTTGGTTACTGATTGGAGCAGTTTTTTGAGGGGGTGTGAGAGGGAGGGTGTTGCGCCGTTTTGAAAGTATGACTGAGTGTGGTTTGAGCCACGTTTATTGTTGTTGGGTTAGGGTAGGGTCAGTGTTGTTAATTCATTGTTTTTCTTCTTCTTCTTCTTCTTCTTCTTCTTCTTCTCTTCATTCCTGCTCTCCTTCATCACAATCATCAAAACATGCCAGACTTCAAGAATCTCATCTCTCTGAATGGTTCCAAAAAGGGTATCAAATTACAACCTCATCAACGCCAAACTAAATGCTTAAAGATGCTACATAGCACACTCTTTTCTCTTCCTCTTTTGTTTTGTCATCACACGCTCTCTACTAAATCCCAGTGAGGCGAACTTTAATCACTATCACTCCCATAATCCACCAACGGCCCCGCCGCAGGCGCCGGCCTCTTATTCGACGGCGCAGCTTTAAATCCCTTGAGCGCCGCCAACGTACTACCCGACAAAATACCGCTGCTCTGCTGTTGCTGTTGCGCAGCACCGGTATCATTCATATCTTGATACGCGTTGTCTCCGGCCTCAATCGCCATTCTATCTCCTGCACCACCCGCTTGGAGCTGCTTGGCTGCTTCCCACTCGCCCTTTTCCTTTGCGTACCACACATCGTCTGGTGCCTCGTAGCCCTGGAGTCCAAAGCTTCCTTCGACTTTACGCCGCTTCTTGCCTTCGGGGTCTCTGCCTTCGAGCTCGGCAACGTATGCTGCGGGAAGCGCTTTGCGGATTGCCTCTGCGGCCTGCTCCTCGATGCGTCTGGCTTCGCGTTTGGCTGCCTGGGGGTTGGGATCAACGGTTGCCCAGCGGACGTTGAGGATTTCGTTGTGGTCGAAGGACTGGTGATCCATTGCTTCTTTTGCGAACTGGCTGTTTGCTTCGTTCATGTATGTGACGAAAGCTACACCGCGCGCAGTCAGAACGCGCGTTCGCTCAATCTCGCCCCATTCCTGCATGTGTCGTGCGACGACTTCTTCGATGTCGTCGGTTGGGTGAATGCGCCCAATGTACAGGGTGCGGTTTTGGCGCTGAAAGGTTCCTACACCGCCCATGTCGTCACGGTAATCGGCGTGCTTGTCGCGCCCGAAGCAGTCGACGTTGCTGGGGAAAATGTCCGTTACTGTGGGCAGGCGGTGCAGGTATTCGCAATCTACTCCTTTCGGACAGGTGCCGCGCGCGAAAAAGAGACAAAAGTACGCGCCAGGCGTCTTGTCTGCCTTTGTGTAGCCGCTGTCTCTGGCTATGTTGCAGCGACCTTGCGCAGGAGTTTGGGACAGGTATTTGTCTTCACGGTCGCCGCCCGACCATTTGTTGTACCAGACATTGTAGATTGTGCCTGTTTGTGGGGTCTCCTGAGTCTTTATTTCCGCTGGGTCGATCTGAGGACGTGCAGGTCGTCGTTTGCGCCGGATGATCTTCTTGACTTTCTTGCCTTCGGCATTTGTCGTAATGATAGTTTGTTCGGTCGTGTGAATGAGTTCGTTTGATGAGGCTGGCTCGAGAGATTTATCAGTCGCGAGCGACGTTTTTGCGGGTTGTGTATCTGTCATGGCTGTGGCGATGTTGAAGTTGTCGTGAGAGAACGATGTCGCGACGGAACTTTCGATGGGACGAGGCGCTAGTGCAGGTCGCAGGCTGATCCACATGCACGTGATAATGTAGCTTCACTGCCTCGCCCTCCTATTGGACAGCCACGAGCGTCACCCTTTTGTAGAGATCAAGCCCAGGACGGAAATCTACTGATATATCTTTCTTTTTCGTATACTTACTTGAGCCCCCTATCACCTCATTTACTCGTAGTACTACTCATCTTCACCGCCCCATCAATCTCCACCACAGCCCCATTAACATACCTCGCCCCATCTCCAAACAAGAACGCCACAACATCCGCCACCTCCTCCGGCGTCCCCAGCCTCTCCAGCGCATTTCCATTCCGCATCCTCTCCACCGCCTCTCCTCCCTTCACAATTCCCGCATTCGACGGCGTATCAATATACCCCGGCGCCACACAATTGACTCTGATGCCCCTGGGCCCAAACTCGAGCGCATGCGATTTAGACATGCCAATGAGCCCAAACTTGGTAGTGCAATACACAGACTGCAGGGCTGAGCCGCGGATGCCACTGATGCTCGAAACGTTGACGATTGCCGAACCGCGCTCGAGGTGAGGTAGACATGCTTGTGTGACGAGGAAGACGCCCTTGAGGTTGGTGTTTACCAGTTTATCCCAGTACTCTTCACTCGTGTCTTCGACTTTCATGCTTGTTGGGTTCACGCCTGCGCAGTTGAATACATAGTTCAGGCCTCCTAGTTGCTTGACTGTATTGTTGACAAAGCTTTCCACTTCCTCCTTCTTGCTGACATTGACTTTCTGTGTGTAGCAGGGTGTGCTACTTTCTGAAGCGACGACTTCAAGGTTGGACTGGTTGATGTCGCAAAGCGAGATTGAAGCGCCGAGGGATGAGAGCTTCAGAGCCGTTGCGCGACTGGTGTGATTTCAGTACAAGGCTATCGTGGAGGCTTGTATGAGATAGTTGGGAAGAGGGGTCGAAGGCGTACCCAATGCCACTGCCCGCTCCTGTGATAAGAGCAACCTTTCCCTCAAATTCTTTTGCCATTGTAAAGGGTAGAGAATTGTTTAGTATATTCAAGTTTCGGTTAAGGCGCGTGTCAGACCGTTGTCGCTATCGTACATGTGCAAAGGCATGCTGCAGATGATAATGCTCCTGTAATGATGTTATCTCAGGGAAAGGTGGGGGTGACGTCGGATATCATCCGCATGACTCGCGCAGGCAATGCTTTCATCTCAATAAATCACTGGACAAGTCTACATCACGTATACATATGTAAATGCTGAATTTGGGTATAAGCATGCTAGGATGGCACATAACAGTCATCCCGCATTCGAAAAGGCCATTTCTTCGTCCAGTCCGCTCATCAGTGTATCCACCCATTCCAGAACACCCTGCAACGTGGTTCTGCAACCAAGAAATAACCAAATGCAACAGCATGAATCGTACAGACTGAAAACAGTAGGGCTCTCTTTATTTCTAAAGGCCGCGGCAATCAAGACTTCTGATCGTCTGTTTTTCCTCCCTTCTTAACATCGGCTCGTGATCGAGTCCGCGAGCCACCCCGGTTTGTCGTCTCACGCTCGCTTTCGACATCTGTATCTTGATTTTGCCTCTCTGCGTCTGGGGGTTTGACAATGTTTTTTACTTCATCATCTCCCTTTTCTTTACCGCTTTCGGGTGGACTTGACTGGCCATTTGGTCTGTTGTCATGCTTTGCACTGCCCCCGCCGTCAAGTACAAGTGATCGCACCTTGCGCACCAAATCGTCCACCTTGAATGGCTTTGAGATCACGTCATCCATACCAGCGTCGCGCATGCTCTGTGTTTGTGCTTCTCTCACGTTCGCCGACACGCCTAAGATATGACTGTATCCCGCCTTGCCTTCCTCTTGCAGCTGCCTGATTTCCTGGGTTGCGGCGTTGCCATCTTTGATGGGCATTTCCTGATCCATAAGAATAACATCAAAGTAGTTTCTGTCATCTGGACCATTCTGTGCCTGATGTCCACGCTCGGCAACGGCATCAATGGCTTCTTGACCGTTGTTTGCGGTGAAGACTTGGAAGCCCCGGGACTGGAGTTGACGACGAAGGACTTTCTGGTTGATCAAGTTGTCCTCAACAAGAAGGAGAGTATGGTTTTCCTCAGTGCGTGGATCGCTCTGTGACCGCGATATCTCGTGGGCGCCCTCTTCTTGTCTAGATGTCTCTCCTCTGCGGAGATCTGGCAGTGCCCTTTCAATGTGTGGCTTTTCTGTCGAGATGTCCTTGACAGCCGATGCAGTTTCTTCGTAACGCCGATCTGCGCTCGATTCCGGATGGGCCTCTGATCTCTCTTCCACAGGCGGATCTTTGAGCGAGGGGTTCATCTCCTCTGCGTCTACTCCGGAATGGCTAGACAATGTTTTCGCATCTGGACGCTCATTCTTTTGCTCGTTGATACGCTGGAGAGTCGAGTTACTTCGGCTATAGCTGGGACGAGTTGGCTTCAAGCCAGCGCTCTCGGATTTTTCTGAGTTGCTTCGGGATTGGATAGGCGGTCGTCCCAGATCACTTCCCCCGACTGAACGACGCACTTTGAAGAAGAATCCAAATGTCGACCCTTCTCCTTCTTTTGAGCTCACGCCTATATCGCCGCCATGTAAAGTGCATACTAACTGATATTAGCGAATGAAAACTTGGACATGCTGTGTAGCTGTAGCTTGCTTACACTTGCGCGATATGAACAATCCAAGACCAGAGCCTCCGTAGTTTTCTTGCGTTTTAGGTGTTGCTTGCCTAGCGGATGATTAGTCAGACGGAAATGAAGGTAATAGAGAAAACTCCTTATACCTGAAGCGCTCGAACAACTTGGCTTGGCCTTCTCTGCTAATGCCTATGCCAGTATCCTTGACGGCAACCATTAAGTACATGGCATCTCCAGAGCCCCATTCTGATGTCATGGTCGAGTCCAGATGGAATGCTTCTTTCTGCTCGCTAAAGTAAACGACGTTGGGAGGATATGACGTGGGTCGTGTTACCGATGCGCCCATGGACACAGTTATATTTCTTTTACCCTTCTTCCTCGAGGTGAACTTTATAGCATTAGTGATCAGATTTACCAGAACTAAAATCTGTTAGCTCCATACTAAACACGACCCGACACTTCATACCTTGCTTCATGCGGTTGAGATCAGCGACAACAGTGTCGACTTGCTGCTCCTCAAACGAAACGTCCATGGCGTAATGGAAATCGATATTCTTGGCTTTGAACTCGGAATGGAAAACGCGGAGCGCTTGAGAGAATTCCCACTTGGGCTTTGTTTCTTGGAGGGTTCAGTGAATGATGCAAGATGATCGTGATGGAGACTCACCGCGAGGAACCAAAGATAGCATCATAGAATCTAACTTGGAGAATGACAAGATATCATCTACTAGTGTGTTTTGGTGTGAGACGCATAGTAGGATAGTGTCAGCAGCATCTAAAATATCGGCTATTTGATCGCGGATTTCATCGCGGCCAGCGCCAATCTCCTTCGTCACCTCCTTGACCTCTTCAGCGAGATGGAGGACGGCAGAGAGTGGATTACGGATCTCGTGCGAAACCATGTCTATGAACCTTTCTTGCTGTTCCTTACGCTCCCTTGCCTCGTTGGCAGCTTTCTCTTGGGTTAGCTGGGCCTGTTTGATATCGGTAATGTCGATGATGGCGCTGATGTAACCAGCATCAGACTCATCGCTCAAGGGCTTCAGCAAAAACATTCTCCATTGCTCACCCTCCGCGTGGACGGGCTCGGCAACGTCACACCTAAACTCTATCTGCAACTCTGTGCGGCTCTCAAATGCATTGCGATAGGCTGTCATGACGTCCTCATAGTCGTCCGGATGTATGCTATCTGGCCAAGAACGGAATTCGTTACTTCCCTTGTTGGTGGTGAGCCTGAAGAAGCCGTCGTTGACGAACACGGCCTCAGCATCCTTGTCGAGAATTGCCAGGCCGTTGGGCAATAGTTCAGCAAATCGCTGGAACATATTTGTCTGCATTGAGTCGGCCTGCTTCGAGTCATGGTGCTTCTTTTCGGGGCCCTTGCCTTCCTGCTGCGACTTGGCCTTCTTTAGCTGATGCCCTTGATTTTGCCGCGCAAGCTCGTCCAAACCTTCAATAGGCATGTAGCGGTCGGTTCTTTGGCTGTCGAGCAGTTGAGCCAGGACACCTTGACGAGTTCCATCTTCGTCAAGTATAGTGCTGAGGACGAGGTGCTGCTCTCGGTCTTCTGCTAGAGAGGCCAGAAAATACCTGGCGGCTGGGCGAGAGAGTCAGTGTGAGAACGGGGCGACTGCAAGGCTACGGTATGATGCTTACCTACCTTGACCGTCCGCCCTCTGAGCACTGTTTTCAGCGTCGCCAACGCCTCATGTTCGTAGCTGTCGTGCGCATTGGATGCCTGGCCATCGAGGCCACCCCGCGCGGTTTCCCAAGCGAGATTGTGTATAACTGTCAAGTCTTTACCCCAGAAAACGGCCGAGCAGTGGGGCATGGGCAGCACGCATGTGTTGACGAGGCATTTGAGCGAAGTTGGCCACGACTCGCGCGGGCCAATTGAGGATTTGGACCTGGAGGGTGTTAACCAGGGCGCGCGATGAAGGAGCAAATGGGGCCGCGGCAAGTGCTCACCAGTCTTTGCGGGACAGGTTCTCCTCGTTCAGGTCGAAGACGGGCAGGCCTGTGGCAGATAGCTTGTCAAGGTTCTCCATGGCGCCTCCGCGGGCGATGCGTTGGGTAAGATTTCAGGCGGAGGAAACTGGTGCGGCGAGGCTTGTTCAGAGACTGAAGATGCGCGTGACGTCATAGCAGGGCAGCGCAGCCAACATGACCCTACGAACGCATGTCTGGCAGGACGACGAGCAAGACACAATGAGGTTGAGTCGCGGAGGAGAGGGCCGAGTGACAGGGTGCACGAGTTGCAGAAATGGATGCGGTCTAGGCCAGCTCATCGCTTGCCATGTTCCATCTTTTCCATGCGCTACCGATGTTGGCATGACATGGATCGACTGATGAATTGGTCGTGATCGGCGATTCGACGAGGCACGTCATGGTGAACACGACTAATTCGAGCACGGCAGGTCTCGCACTAGGTGTACGCCCTCGTGTGTAGTCATGTACACAGGTATCTCGGTCGCGGGGTTGTGCCAGGCTGGCGTCGCCTTTGTCCGTCAGTATGCGCCTACGGCAGCAACAGAAAGGCCCCGGTACAGTCCAAAAACCTTGGTCAGCGGTCGTGGCTGTCACAAGCAATGCCTCCGTCGCCATACCGCATGCATCATGCATCTACTAGATATCTGATCTGACAGCGTTGGCGGGGGACATGGCTCGTCTCGCCTACTGGGGCACAGGTAGTGTTAGTACGAACGTCATTCCCTGCTTCACCAAGCACGCACACGCTACAGGCACCAGGGACCGCCTCCACCCAAAAGGGAACTGGGCAGGCATCACATTGCCATCATTTCGTGGTTTCGGAGTGGTGCAGGCAAAAGTCCCCGAGAATCGCGTGACCGAAAATATTTTCCTGGGGTCTGAGGTAGTGGGCAAGACGGGTTTCTGCGAACATGTCAACGCCAAACCTGTGCAGACTCGATGGCATTCCCTGCCATTGGCTGTCTCTGATGCTACCAAACTCTCGAATGCAGCAATGCAGCCTCGGCTCAGGCCCTGCATGACTTTGCTTCAGGCTTTCGTCGCCCTGACCTTGGACATTCACGATCTCTTCACAGTTCCTGTCAATCGAGACCATTAGCGTCTTGGCGTCGTCTGGCTTAGCCTTTGTGCGCCCTTCTCGGAGCGGAAGCCAGGACAGACTCCCTGTTATCGATAACACTCGCATGTATACATATACGAGTATATGACGAGGTCCAAAGGTTTCGGCCCTTATCCGGAACATGGAGAAGCTCTGGAAGCACATGCATAATCTATCCCTAGGCGGCTTCGGCAGCGCACACTCAACGGGCGGTATCGCGGAAGGAAACCTTGTGTATAAGTGTATACAGCTCCATCACGGTCGTGGCTGCATAAATTCGGCAAGGGTGGTGTATGATAGGCACGTCTGTAAAGAGTCGAGGAAACGTCTTGCTCTTGTGCAAAAGGTAAGAGGGAATGGAAGCATGATAACACGGCCCAAGAGTTTATCTGGGACTCAAATTTTTCGCACAATCCTTCCTATCACATCAGTCAGTAGGACCGTATGGACAGTGGTGAATTGCTCCGGCCGTACGGGTGGATTCTCTTGAGGCTAATGTCGAGTCTAATCGGCACAAACAACCCGAGCGAGAGACGCTGTGAGTTTTGGCCCGTGGCTGACCCGGAAAGTCATACTGGATACGGTTTCATAGTTTTCGTATTGTCAACAAAATGCAAATGTATACAATAAAGTTTCATGTCCGTGTACAAGGCAAGAGTGGAAACGAACGTTGGTTGGTGACAACGATGCCGACAAGTGTTCTCACGCCAGGCACGTGTCAAGGAGTGGGGGAGCTTGGGGCTGAAATGGCGGAACGACCCGACCGCCGGCGTAGTTACTTTATACGCGCTACTTTCCCTGGCCGCTTGACTCGTATGTTTCACGCTCCGTCGTCTCCTATCTCTCTTTGTTTCAATTGGTACATAATTGGCAAATTCTGGTTATATGTCGAGACTCCCTACCTATACCTTCCTTACAAAAAAGATCAACCACCACAAACATATCCCCAAATCCTCTATCAAAATGCTCGGCGCACTACCCCTGCCTACGCGCGACCTAGCTGAACTCGCAAAAGAGGAAAAGGGCTTCACCTTCAACCACTTCACGTGCGAGCATGCCTGGGTCATTGGGAACATTCTTCGAAACGCTCTTCGCACCGCCGAGTGCCCTGTCCTCATCCACATAGCTCTCTCGACCCAGACCCTCTTCCATGCGCCAAGCCTTCCTGGCATAATGCCCGATCACGAGAAATGGGTAGAGAGAAAACGCAACACAGTGCTCAGATGGGGTCACTCGACATGGTACATGGGGTGCCAATTCGATGACGATTACAAAAAGTTTGCCGAATACCATGCCATGAGTGGAGATGAGTGGTCCAAATACACCATCGAAGGGGGCGGATATCCCGTCTTCGTAAAGGGGGTCGAAGGCGTTGTTGGCGCAATTACAATTGCAGGCGCCGACATCTCAAGCGTGCAGGCGCACAGCGTTGTCGTCAAAGCTGTAGAAGAGTACAAGGAACTGAGAGATGGGTTTCGAAGTCCAATGAGAGCGGCAACCACAGCTAAATGACTGCATGAGTTAGGCAAAGGTGAAGGGCTTGGTATTCATTTATCGCCCAACGACCCATCCAGAGGGAGCAGAGGAAAGAAGGGCTGAATCACGTGGGTTCAGATTTGGTTTGTTGCTTCATTCGCAATTCGCAGGCTATAATACAGAAGCCGTGGCAGAGTTGCCCACCGACCGAAACCCGAATCGTCCTCCTACCGCATCGAAAGCTATTGAGTAGCGGAACAACAAGTTTCTCCCGGTGTTGATATAGGGCGAGTGGCTGGGTATTTGAGGGAAAACATAATTGGGCTCAATGGCTGATTTTTCGCCAACGGTGAACGAATAAGACATGGCTGGCTGATCAAGGCATGGAAAGCCGACGGTGATATTGGTACCTGGCTTCACGCGTTTCACCATCTTCGCATGACCGTTTGGGTTGGGATTAGGAATGACGATGGTTGGCATCGAAACGCCTTTCTCCGTTCTGATATACATCTGCGCTATGCCGGTGTCGACAAGCACATTACCACAATTCCTTCCCTCGCCATTGACGCTGAAGCACATGCTTGCCATCGCCCAGTCCCTGCTATCCTCAGCCCAGGTCAAGCCAGGTTCCAGCTGGGTAAAAGCAAATTCTCGGATGGCTGTCGGTGTCAACCCAACTTGGACACCCTCACGTGATACAATGTATCCAGCGTGCATCGTCTCGCAATCAACAGACTGTCCATCAATGGCGCAGAGGTTTAGGAGCGGGTTGACGCGAGGTGTAGCAAAGGGCATGCCATCCTTTTGGCTGTTTCTTCCGAAGCCAATGCCCATGTAGGTGATTTGCGACGTGTCCCGCTCTACGGCTTGCTCACCGTGTGGACCGGCTGGACACTCGAACCGGTCAACAAGGGGATCATACCAAGGGCATCTCCAGCTCTTGTCAACAATGAGCACAGGGACCTTTGCAGTCGCGTATGAGCCACCTTCACCAGTGAAGTTCATGCCAAGCTCTACCAGTCGGCCAACGTAGAGTATCTTACTGCTCGTGAAGAAGTGGTGTGCCGGCGTGCCCGAGGTTGACGGTATGTTAGGTAGTATTGGAGCTCCTATCAAAGTCCCGGTTGATCCAGTGTCCACGGGCATATGGATATCAACGCCTTCGACTGTACACATGACTTGCGGAACATGTTTAGGGCTGAACTCGAAGATGAAAGGAATGAAAATGGAATGGTTGCCTGGTGATATCTCCGTATCCTCTGTGTCCATTGTAGTATTGTTGGTGTACATTGTAAAAAGAATGAGGCTGCCAATCAAGCCAATGACGCGCCAGAAGAGTGTTGAACTCTTCAGTCTCCCATGTGTAGGTGTTGAAGGTGTGGATGTCGACAACGAGGGTGGTGCCGAACGTGTTATATAGTCGCCGGGCTTCATGTCTGTTTAGAGGTGCGGAGAGGGCGTGCATCCGCTGGCATACGCCACACGGATAACGCCAGATTTGTGTCTATACCGTTTCCGAGGTATTGGCGAAGCAACTCGAGTGGAGTCAAGCACAATGCAGATGTCAAATCATCGGCAGATGAAATAAGCACCGTGGTAGGGCCCCGAGGTGACGTCCGCGTAATGTGCAGACAGCGGTCCTTCCCCGCAATCCCGAAACTCGATGCGATCTACTACTAGTCAGGCACAACATCTCCCTCAATTTCCCAAGTCAGCGCACCTCACCCAATGACGAAAACCCCAATGGATATCAGCCAGCCTCTCTCCACTCCACCGCTCAAGACGATGTACCAGTCGCTGATCGTCACGTGTGCGGCTGCACGACATGGCCGGGGTACTAGCTTAGCCACTGTTCAGGCCTGCAGCTAAAGGCAGCCGCCCACTTTCATAGACATGTCCAAGCTGTACATGTACAGCCCGAATAGGAGAAGACTCGAAACTAGACATGGTTTTTGGCGACTCAGGCAATTGCACGTATCGGTCTTGACGCGCCTTTCGTCCCAACCCAACCCTCGCACGCCTCTCGCGCCCACATACTGCTCCCTCACCGCCAAAACGAAACAGCGCAAACCGAAGCAGAGCATGTAGCCAGCATGGGGCGCTCACCATCTCGATTCAGCGACGGCGGCGAGTCCGCGCAGCATGCTCGTGTCGAGCCACGCCTTCTCAAGGCAGTCGAGGACCAAAAGCACGACGATGCCATTGCCATTATCGAGCAGGCCAAAGCGAATGCGCAACCCATCGACCACCTCTTGCGCATTGCTTTGATGCGCGCAGCGGAGCGCGGAAACATATTCATCACCGAGTATCTTCTGAAGAGTGGTGCGAAACCCGATGGTGCGCCGGGAGGCAGGGTGTCGCCCTTGTTCAAGGCAGTCGAGAAGAACCATGTCGGGATTGTGCAACTACTGCTAAAATTCGGGGGAAATGTCGACGTACAAGATAAGCAGGGGAGAACGGTGCTCATGATGGCGGCTTGGAAAAATCACTTTCACATCATGCATGAATTACTAAGGTGTGGTGCAGATGTTAACCGCAAGGACAACACTGGGCGCAATGTCTTGCACAATCTGGCAGCCGACAAGCATTGCAATTGGGGACGCGACGTTATAGCCGAGCTTCTCAAGCAAAACATCGCCATTGACGGACCAGACGGTCAGGACGACCAGAAGCGCAGTCCACTGCATTGGGCAGCGAGTACAGGGAAAAAAGAGTTGTGTGAAATGTTACTCAGGCGACCGCGACTCCCCAGAGCAAACGTCAACGCAGTGGAAATCAGGCAGAAGACGGCGCTCCATCTTGCGATTGCACATGGGAGAGACGATATTATCGAGCTGTTGATCAAGCATGGCGCGGATATTATGGCCAAGAGCGACGGATCCTGGACTCCCTTACACAACGCTTGTGAGCAGGGAAGCGTCAAGGTGGTGAGGATGCTGTTGGGTGCTGGCGCGAACATCAATGCAAAGCTCTTGAACGGAATGACACCCTTGCACGTAGCAGCCCAAGCTGGACATTTGGACGTAGTCAACTGTCTTCTGGAGCGAAACGACGTAAAACGAGCTGCGAAGGATGCTTTTGGTATCACGCCGTTCTTGCGGGCTGCCCAGAGCAAGAAGTCTGCACGCAAAGACATCATCAACAGATTGGCACCGCACAACCAGATTGAGGCGCTTAGCGAAGACGCGCTGGGCGCTACCAATGGATTCCACGCCACGATTGTTGACTTTGGCAATTTTCACAACGAGAACAGAGTATCACGCAAGACAGTCTTTGAGTTGTTGTACAGCCGTGATCCGATCAACCCTAGGAAACCTTCAGTCAATGTTCTGCCTAAAGATTCCAAAGGAACAAGTTTCAGATGGATACATCTGCCTGCAAACAACATGGCCTGGGTGGAGGCATTGCTGACTAAAGCATTCATTGAGGAAGGAGCCAGCGACGTTGAGGGGTTCAAGGCGCTGGAACGGTCCTTTAGCCACCAGCACCGTGGACAGCAAATACACTCGCATTTCATGAGACCGCTGTGTCAGAGCACGCCACGTGCTCCAAAGAATCACGATGAATCAGACCTTTCTGATGGTGGTGACCCAGGGGTTCCACACATCACCGTCAATAATGGCCTGGGCTTAACTATTGACCCAGCAGTCGCCATGCAAGATTCAACCTCGTCGCACTTTCCCAAGACACCTGCGCGAACAGGTACAGCCAGCACAGAACAAACGGATTGGACTGCCGGGACGGGCCCGGGCCATGCGGCTAACAAAGAAGTAAGAGGAAAAACAAAAGATAAGACCAAGAAGACGCAGAAGTGGGGTGGGTCGAAGCCGGCTGGCAAGCGATCTGGCGGCACCGAAACACCTACCAGAGGACCCGAACACCATGCAAAAAGAACACATACAAGCTCTTCTCTCACTCTCAGCGGTCACCTCAAGTCGCCTGGCAGTCCTGGACGGAAAGACCCGACGACGGTTGCAAAGGGCAACATATTTGCCTTCATGCCATATCTGCACTTTGAGTCTGACCGCCGGCGCCAGGAAATGCAAGCTGCGATTAGGAAAACACAAATTATAAAGAGTTACGAGAAAAATGATGGACGAGCTAATAGGCCACCCCCTCCGCGCGCGAAAACGTACGATGAGATGCTGCTACGAGCTCATCTGACCTCTTCGCAGATTTCACTGCATGTACGGCGTACATTGGATCAGTTCTTTTATCACAACATTGACACACAGTCTCGTGATCGTGACCAAGTCGTCTACCGGTATCAATGCAAGTCGAACGACCCTCAGCATGTGGATCCGAAGATATTCATGGTTGATCAACTATGGATGTGGACATTAGGCAAGGACTTGATTGTGACCGCTTTTCCTCAAAGATGGCAGCAGCCTAGGAACGATCCGCTCAATGTTCTCGATGGCATCATCGAAGACATCAACAGCAAGACCAGAGATCCGGTTCGAAATGTGTACGATTTGGCTATGATCATCTCTGGAAGGTGCAGTGGAGTCTTTGATCGTCACCGTACTGGCGACGAGGACTACCAGTTTCTTGACATGTTTGAATCCAGTATAGGTGACGCTACCGAAATGGAGACAATACTGTTCAAAGAGTTCAATACGGCTTCTGCGCAAGCATCGGCATGGCTACAACACCACCGTCGGCCCAACCGCTTCTCACGTCACCTTGAAGCAGAGGGAAGGCAAAGGGAGCACAATCGGCGACATGTGCCGCATCACTCCCATTCACACGCTTTGACCGACCCTCCAATCCGCGAGGAAGAATTTGACTATGACGATAGCGACCGATCAGCTGCCCACGCCCCTCTATTTGTCGACAAGCTACTAGACATTGGTGCTGAGACGGACCTTTTGGCTGAGATCAAGGATATTCGCGATGAACTGAACATGATCGCCAAAGTACTGGAGGATCAGCGCAGCGTACTTCCTGATATGGAGGCCAGCATCACAGACATCTATCGAGAGGAGCACAAAAGTCAGCAGGATATAAAGAAGCGGTTTAAAGAGCTGCTCAAG